AGCCCTGTCTGTTGCATGCTGCTTCCACTGTTTGCTAAATGAGTACAACTGTGTTGTGCCTTCACTAGACTGACACCTCATGTTGAGGTATGCCTGGTGCTGATCCTGGCAAGCCCTCCTGCACTCTGCAGTAAACCAATGTCGATTCCCTGGCACGATGGTAATGTAGAGTAGGGGATATGCTAGACCATGAGGTTACTATTTATGATTAAATACAATTCTGCTGCTGATGTTGACCGTGCCTTGTGGATGCTCGGTTTTGAGTTGCTAGATCTGTTTAAAGTCTTTCCCATTTGGAAACATAGAAAATAGGAGCAAGGGTAGATCATTAGGCCCCTCGAAACGTCTCTACCATTCGAAATGAGCATGAATGTTTCTCTGTCTTAATGCCAGAGTCTCCTTTTCTTCCCATACCCCTGACCTTTAGTGTCTAGAAATCAATTTCTTTCCTAAATAGATTCAATGACTTGATTCCCACCAGCTTATGGTGGGACCAATTCTATTGGTTCACCAACCTGTTGTGTACTTGGCCACTGACAACTTCCTTAAATTGTCTTGAAGCCTATTTACTTCCTCCTCACCACTTGCTGTTTCTCTTAGTGTCAACAGCAAACTATGAATATTTGGTTCCCCAGCAGATATCTGTAGTACTCCACTAGACACCATTCTCCATGAAAAATACCAATTCATTCCTCTGTTCCTATTTGTTAATCAATTCTCAGTCCATGTCAGTTTATTATTCCAAATCCTTTGTGCTTTATTTTTGCCCACTAACCTCTTGTGGGACTTTTCAACATCTTTCTGAAAATCCAATGAACTACACCACCCATAAACCTTATTTATTCTACCAGTTATATCCTCAAATAACTCCAATAGTTTTGTCAAACATGATTTCTCTTTCATAAATCCAGGCTGACTTTGTCTAATCCGTTGATATTTTCTGAGTGTGTTTTATCACATCCTTTATGATACTCTTATCATTTTACCTACAACTGACGTTATGGTCTGTAACTCCCATTTACTCCCTCCTTTTTATTAAAAGTAGTGGGGTTACATCTGCCTCCTTCCAATCTAGAGGGACTGTTCCCAGAATTTAAAGAATTTTGGAAGATGCATTCACCATTTTCATGGCCATCTGCTTTAGAACCCAGGAATGTAAGTTATCAAGCCCTGGGAATTTATCATCAAGTTCTTATTTTTTAAAAACCAGTAATAATTTCCATAAATTCCTTATAATCAACAGACCCTTGCCTCCCTATCATTTCTGGGAAGTGTTGTGTCTTCTGCAAAAGTGGATGCTTAATTGTTCTAGCACCAAATCCTTTTTCTCCATAAACAATTCTGCCATTTTAGACTGTAAGGGACCTACCCACATCTTCACTAGTGTTTTCCTTTTTACATACTTTCAGAAGCTTTTACAATTTGTTTATATATCCCCTGCAAATTTACTCTCATACTCTATTTTTCCCCTCTTAATCAATCTCTCAGTCCTCATTTGCTGAATTCTATGCTGCTCTCAGTTCTCAGTCTTGCTATTTTTTTCTAGTAACCTTATGTGACTCTTTGGATCTAATAACCAATCTATTCCAATCAACTCATGCTTCATATCTTTATAGTTCCCTTTGTTTAGATGTAGGGCCCAAGGTTTGGATTCCACTACTTCACTTTGTATCCCATTGAGGAATTCTATCACATTATGGTTAGTCTTCACTGAAGGGCTTTATACCACAAGATTATTAGTTAATCCCTTTTCATTGAATAATACCAAATCTAAAATAGCTGTTTCCCTCGTTGGTTCTTCAGCATAATGATGTCAAAAAGATCTTGAACCAATGATATAGCTAAAGAGAGTGGAATCCTGCAAGCAGAATGTAGAGAGCTAGGAATTCACCCACAAGGTTTTACTGCTAATGTGGTTTATCTAGTCTACTTATAGATTAAAGTCATCCATGATTTTTGTAGCCCCCTTGTTACATGCACCGCTTCCTGTTTAAAACTGCTCCAGGGCTTACCATTATAGTTTGGAGGCCAACAGAAAACATTCGTTAGTGTTTTCTGCATCTTGTCGATTCTTAACTCCACCAAGACTGATTCTGCATCTTGTTTTCCAAGCCAATATTATTTCTCACTATTGTTGATTTCATCTATGACTGACAATGCTAGCCCACCTTCC